ATGCAGTCTAGGTTGATCACCAACCTGCTGTAAAAACAGCGTTGATGATCACAGCCGACTTTCAGAAGCTGGTTAACGATAGCTGATGGATCTCAACAGATGCATTTGAGTTGGTGGATCCACGCAAATGCATCCCTACTGTTTTGGAGCACAATGAGGAGCGGAAGCTGCTGAAATATAGACTAAAAACAAACCTGTCCAATGACCGAAAACAAAGCTGTAGGGCGAAGACCAACGACAAGGAAAAGGCAGTGACGATAGATAACAATAAACAGTTACTTAGACTTACCTAGGGAACTGGGACAAAAACATCAGTGATTAGTGAGACAGTAGAAGAGAAATATAGGTCTGTGATTCATACACAGGGAGAGAAAATATCCAATCGTCTATTCAGAGTGGAGTGTATTGAGCTGGAGTTTACTCTGTCCCACTGTATGATTGTGAAACATAACCGTTGAAGGTAGATGATATGAGAAGGCTTCAGATATTCCACCACCATTGCCATCATAAGACTAGCATGTGTTGAGGTGTCACTAAGTGAGTGAAATGGCATTCAGACGTAATGTTTGAGAGAGGAGAGGAAAGTCAATTGACGGGACTGCGAACCTTCATGGATTCAGATGACTGGTATATGTGTTACTCATGTCTAGTCACCATCTGTCTGGTTGCACGATGTTAGCTGTAGTAGGTTAAGTTTAAAAGAAGGTTAAGGGTCGGTAGGTTAAGACATGGCATCCCTGTATGAGATCACTGACTGTTAGTGAGAGAGATGTATGACAGTGTAGACTTCGTGGTTGGGGTCTACGTGAGAACAGAAACCAGTGGTTGTAGACTGTTGTCGATGTGGGTGGTAATTGATGTCTTTGGTACAAATGTTAATCGTCATAATCAATTTCAGTATTCTCTCACTGCACCTTGTTTTCTTCTGATAACTTTCTTTTACTTTTGACTACTTTCTTCACTACTTCATCGTTCTTTTGCTTGATATGCGGATATGAGCTTTGGTAACTAGGACTATTATGCAGTAATTCCTGGGCCTATGGTGATATTGTTTGTTTACCTTCTGTCATTTCACGGTACACCGCAACCTTAATCCAACATCGTAAGCGTGTACTTCTTTGTACTGCTGACAGTGATTCATATACCAAACGGGTCATAACTTCTCATTAGAATTCCATGAATTTTATCTAAAAACAAGTCACTTATGAGTCACTGACAGTAATTCAGTTGGTGGTTTTCGGTGAGCTGATTCATTATTTGAATCAGGAAGTAGTTTCCATAACGAACTGATATCAGTTGGAGAAAAACTCAAGAATAAAGAGCACCCGACTTCTATTTTACCCTAGTTTACGACTACTCCACAATAAACACTAATGATCTGAAAGAAAAACGAAACAGTAGTCCAGTGCTCCCTGTTTCCTAATCCTTCTCAGATTGATGCGATTCTATGATGAAAAAAGTGATCACTTACGTCTTGATCAACGATTATCAATATTATTAAAATGATTTGTTATGTGCTTATTGATTGCTACATCTTAAAAAGTAATCTCCTAGAAAATTTGCATGGACTACCCCATGCTGGACTGTTAATTTTGCAAGGTGTATTTTTGCTTTTGAATAGTTATTTTAAGGTTGTGTTTTTTACCTATCTCGAAATTTTTTACCATTTGTGTATCCAGATGGAAAACTGACCGATTCTGTAGCTTCCTAACTAGAGCCACTTACTTGTTTGTTTTTCGCAGAAAAAATTTGTATACTAATGTGTGTGACAGTAAATAAATTGATATTTATTTACACAGTATATTTTCTTTAATGATTTTGAGTTCCAGATTTGATTGATAATCCTTTACTAGTCGTTATGTAGATATGTGCATTGATTTTGCTGTCAACTGCACTGTGGTGATATTCCAATCCTTGTTTGAAATAGTGTAGACAGAGAGGCAGACAAAATCAACATGGGGCCTAGCACACAAGTGAATTGGCTCAATTTGCTACATTTCATAGTTGTCTAAAAAAAAAAGTGGTAAAAAAAGGCTGATATCAAAGTAGACGAAGGTGTATGAGGGGAGAGATGACTTAAAAATTAAGGTTAGTCAAAACAGTCAAGCTTTAAAAGACAACAAAGAATGAATACATCTGTCCCATTGTGACTTATTTTCAGTCAGTTCACCAAGCACTGATTCCTACGGTCACTGACACCCCAACAAGGCGGTCTACACTTCCCTACACGTTCAGACCAACAGTCAGGGATTTTACGCGCTTGTGTCACTTCTTGATCTGGTCATGGTTAACCTCATTCCAACTTCCCCTAGCATGGCACTTGAAGGTGGGTACTGGTTCGCCATGCACAGCACACTTCCAGGTTACCTCAATGTATGAAGTTACAGAACCTTATCAGCTGACTTGTCTTCCTTGCCTAGTGTCCTTCGCCTGTTTTGTATATTATACACATGGTAATTTCACCATACGCAAGCGATGCTACGAAGACACCTGTGATCAAAAACTTCTAACCGCTTCACATTTACTTTTTGACAGCCGTATAACAGGATATCTGTTATTACAACCAATATTACTGAGTTACCGTTGATAAGTTTCACTGGTATCAGCCAATCTCAATAAATCTGGATTTGCAACTTTAGGAGATCAGTTTTATACTGGTTAAAAGTACAACCAATCACTGAAATGCAGGTGGCATCATTCAGTTAGTAAATATTAAATGTTTTGCACTCATAATTACCATCAAAATGCTACCTGAATAAAACTGGTTTCAGCTTTTCATTTTTAAGCAGTTGGTTATGAAATAATTCGCTCAATATACATTAACGCCTCATACAATATCATATTATATATATATATATATATATATATATATATATATATATATATATATATATATTCATACAATAGCTGTACTATGTCAGTAATTTACTTTAGTCTTGAATCCATGTCACATGCCTTTATTTCATTTATAAACTATAAAGTTCCTTTACAATTTGTGAATCTGCTTCGATAACTTTTGCAATCTATTTAAGAGAAACTGTAGTCATCTATATCACTACACATTTGACTCATTCTCAGTTCTGACATGCATCTTACATCAAACAGTTCTAAAATTTCTAAAGATTTGGCATTAGAGTTAGAGTTGAGTACCAAAGTATCCAAAAATGAGTTCAATTGAGAAAAGATGGACTAACAGTTTAGTTGTTCATTTATTCTCTGTGAACTTCAATTTCGGTTTTGACTGACTATACATTATCATATATTTATCTCAAGAATAAAGTTGGGAAGAAGGAATATTCCGCAGAACATGAACAGTCAGAAAACCACTCACACTGTTTCGAAAATTTCGTTGGTCAGAAAGCGTTATCTAAACAATAGCTTATCAGAGGTGTGACTGAATAAGTTCAGATTATTTGAAATCTGTAGATCATAGTGAGAAGTTTCTACGAACTTATTGTGTTCGCTAGTCAAATTCATACATCAATAACACTTCTGTGTTATAGCCCGTTACCTTGCCACATAGTTTCCCACAACAAAGCCTGTTGAACAACTGAAAAACTACTCAACTATGAAGAGTGTTAACGCAGACATACAGTCTTATCTGTAAATAATTTACAAAATATTCATATATAAAACCAAACAAAGTAGAAAATGATGTCCACGTTAATGGTGAACTGTTGTTCAAATCAACGAGTCACTAATACATAATCTAGCAAACTCAAATCTCACTCGGAATTTTGGGTTCGAACGTTAGATGTGATCCTGAAAAAGCTTTGCAGCGAATACTTTTTTACCTTGTTACACATACCCCATGGACGTGTAATATATTCATTTCCCCCTTTATATTTATAGGATTAAGAAGGTACTGAAGAATGGATGTATCTGCATCACTGTAACAACTTCTGAAGCCCGTCACATGAAGTCAAAAACTTCCATTTGGATCAAGAACAAAAAACCTACATACATACGACTCAGATATAAGGTCAGTAACTTCGTAAACTGACAAATGTTTTGTTGTATTCATTCCGAAGCTTTCATGGCATACACTTACTGCGATCACAATAAATCTTTAAATTAATAAAGTGAATACGCATGCGCTATACATTTCATAACCACTTCAGATAACCAAGATTCCTAACGTCATCGCTTAGTATATCTTCCTCTCTCAAAACTCCACTTGACGATTACACTATCCTTGATGCTTCTAGGACACCTACCACCCCCAAATCCATGTTTCACAGATGCGCGAGAAAATGAGCACTACAACACATAATTCATATCGTTTACCAAATCGATGTTTATATGCCTCTCGCATCACATATAGTGAAAATTAGTAAACGCCAAATAACCTTTCCACACATATCTAGATTTCGTCAGACATTTGCTCATAATCGCTTTCAGAAGTGTTCGACGAACTTAGCCACCTCGTCGTCCATTTTGGAACTAGATATTCGAGTAAACTATTTTCACAGTATTACTTAACTGTTCACAAGCCCAAGAATTATTCAAGATAAACGCAAGTTTTCATTTTAGTTGCTAATAAAACTTTGAAAGTGCTCAGTGTCTTCTGAGACTGAAAGTCTACAGGAGACTGATTGCTTCTTAAGAAACCGATCGTGAGGCCCATCTTTAACAAGGCATCGGAAACAAGTTTGAATAAACAGCATAAAAGTAAGTAGTTCACGAATACAGACCAAACTTATTAACGCATTGTCACAGGACAAAGTGGAGTTTATCACGAAACTTTCAGTAACTAAAAACACTTTCAGTGTTTCACTTAAAAATGAGATTTACCACAATGACTGATTAAAAAGAACTTCGAGTAGGGTTCAGTCCCAAAACCTGTTGTCCGAAAATGATATGCTTAAGACAATTGATTAGATGTTCATAGATGTTCGTAACTCAGTTAGTAGAGCATTGGGCTGGAAACCCGGTGGTCTCGGTCCAAATTTTCATTTCACCTTCAATCATCACCCAGTTTAAACAAAAAGTTCCATTTTACAGATATTATTTATTCATCTACATAATATTAAGTTATAAGTACAGAGTTGATGAGCGGCATTTGCGATATTATTTACATATGCAAGAAAATATACATATATGCACAGCTGATTATAGGTAAATTACGGGCATAACAGACCATTCTACATATACAAATAAAATAAAGGTAAGCAAGGGTAAGTAGACCATTTCCAACATCAGTAAAAACAAAAGTAACTTCATAAATGGACATTTTTCCACTGATCACTTCAGTATACCGAAAAAGCTGTTGATTAACCAATGAAATAAATATGTTGAAATTAAACCATAAATAAAAACCTGTTAATCAACAGCAATGAAAACAAACGAAAGGCAGGGCTTACACAACTGGTCTCCTGTTGCATCTACACGCTAGTACAGACATTCAACATTGGGAAAAATGAACATTATGAGCTATCACTTCAAAAATTCCGTGCCTCGATTAAAATAACAGTTATAACAAATAAACAAAAATCGAAGTGTTCCACGGGTATTATCGATTTGCTCAATGATAAAAATATTAAGTTATTAAAATAATGTCTACAAAAAAATTATTTAAAAAAATAAAAGCACATAAATAACAATCAACTGGAAAGTAAACAGATAAAATGAAGCTAATTACAGATGCTCATGAATTAGTGAACTCAATGGAAGAATGACAAAAAGTGTTGCTCAGGGTTATGAAGTAATAAATTCAGTTTATATGACACTAGCTACTTTGTAAATGCAAAAAATACTATTCTAAAAGATCAGTACAATGGGGTTTTATTAAAAATGGCAATTATAAAGTCACATTCGATCCATATATCTACAATGTAAAAATCGGTTTGCATTAAGGGTATAAATATAAGGAAACGGATTACAGAAAAAACAAACAGACTGTGAAAGACAATGCAAATTAAGTAAAGAGATAGAGTAAAGAAGTAAGAGTGTAAACGGAAATGATAATCGTGAAGTAGTTGGTTAAAAACAGAAGAATATTTCACTGATTTTTCTCTAAATCACCCAATGTTTTTCATTTTTTTTTTCGCTTAATTTACCTTCTTCTGGACTGGATTTACTTTTATTGGTTCAGACCAATCCAATACACCATCATCTTCAAAAGTGAAATCTATATTGCACAATGAAATGGAAAATGAATGAAAATATAATACTGGCTCCACACTAACTGGGAAAAATTTCAGGTCATACTTAGATCGAGGAAAATCGAAATGCAATCAACTACCATGTATACGTTCGTGAAGTAAGCTACGAGGCATGCCTCTTGTGTGAGGGATAATAATTCTACCTGGCTGCTTCGACATCAAGAGGTGAAGCGGTGTTTAAACGCATGACCTACGTGCCGAAAGTTAAGTGCACTGACCAATGAGAAACAGCTCGAATTGATTCATAATGAAGATAAAGACGACTAGAATAGTACTGGACGCTTTACCTTCCCCACTCGAATACTGTCTGAACGGATGACAACTACACCTAAACGATTCTAACGTATGTCCATGAATTGATGACCAAAATATAACCTATTTGTGTCCCAGTGTAATACTACAAAATACTTCAATACATAAACTACATCATATACAGAATACATGAGATCAGTTAGTAGTTTCTGCGGCTAACTGCCAGTAAGTAAAGGTGTCCGATCGAAATTCATACGGTTATAATGTTATGGTGTCACTATTTGACACCCCAATAGCACAGCCACTTTCCACAAAGAACGAACAGATCTCGTCCAGTTTACGTTAAAAAATCTTCTCCGCATCTGCGATTCAGCTAATTATATCCAAAAACTGGCTACAGTCGGTGATTGATACACCGTGTTTCACGTTCACAATAAGTACTACCTATATATATATATATATATATATATATATATATATATATATATATATATATATATGTATATATATGTTAAAAATTTTATTCACGGATCTAATATGTCAAGGCATACGATTGCAAGACAGCCAGTAATGTCAGTAGGATTAGATTATAGACACAGACATGAGTTTAAGATATGAGCAGGCATAACCGCGTAACAGTCCAAGCTGCCACACCTCATATCAGTACAATAAGCCAGAATGCACTCAGATGAAAAGTAAAGAAATAAAGAAAGCTGTCAGAAGTAGAAGAAATTTATCAGAAGAAAACAAGGTGCAGTGAGAGAATACTGAAATTGATTATGACGATTAACATGAAGATAATATGCAGATACATTTGTAACAAAGTCATCAATTACCACCCATATCGACAACAGTCTACAACCACTGGTTTCTGTTCTCACGTAGACCCCAACCACGAAGTCTACACTGTCATACATCTCTCTCACTAACAATCAGTGATCTCATACAGGGATGCCATGTCTTAACCTACCAACCCTTAACCTTCTTTTAAACTTAACCTACTACAGCTAACATCGTGCAACCAGACAGATGGTGACTAGACATGAGTAACATATATACCAGTCATCTGAATCCATGAAGGTTCGCAGTCCCGTCAATTGACTTTCCTCTCCTCTCTAAAACATTACGTCTGAATGCCATTTCACTCACTTAGTGACACCTCAACACATGCTAATCTTATGATGGCAATGGTGGTGGAATATCTGAAGCCTTCTCATATCATCTACCTTCAACGGTTATGTTTCACAATCATACAGTGGGACAGAGTAAACTCCAGCTCAATACACTCCACTCTGAATAGACGATTGGATATTTTCTCTCCCTGTGTATGAATCACAGACCTATATTTCTCTTCTACTGTCTCACTAATCACTGATGTTTTTGTCCCAGTTCCCTAGGTAAGTCTAAGTAACTGTTTATTGTTATCTATCGTCACTGCCTTTTCCTTGTCGTTAGTCTTCGCCCTACAACTTTGTTTTCGGTCATTGGACAGGTTTGTTTTTAGTCTATATTTCAGCAGCTTCCGCTCCTCATTGTGCTCCAAAACAGTAGGGATGCATTTGCGTGGATCCACCAACTCAAATGCATCTGTTGAGATCCATCAGCTATCGTTAACCAGCTTCTGAAAGTCGGCTGTGATCATCAACGCTGTTTTTACAGCAGGTTGGTGATCAACCTAGACTGCATTTGCACGAATGAAGTTCTGTTCTGGTGACCGTCTAACCAGTTTTCTCTCTGAGGCATGTTTAGTGTTCTCACAGACAAGATGCGCTCTCAATAGTCTTGTCGCTTTAGTTTTTCTACGTTCATTTAGACGCAAAAGCATATACGTGCTTGTGGCAACTTGTCATTTATGTTCAGACACACGCTCTTCAATGGCTGGTAATCTTCAGCCAACCCTGCCCAGTGACAAGTGACAACCGTGTGGTCTATCTATGTCCACTGCTGAGTTGAGGTTGATGGACGCCATTTCACATAATGTCACTCTTTATGTATGGAGTTCTTGCTAGGCAGAAAAAGATGGTCATGTAAGCACGTTTGTAGCATACAATCGCCATTATCTGTCCGTTCGCTCGGGATTCCAAAATTGCCACCTACGCACTTTTTTTACACGAATTAAGCTATCCACTTGTGCATTGAAATCACTTACAACAGCAATCACGTCTCAATGGTTTGATCCCAGTACGAGGCCAGAAAGCTTTCAGTAGAACATGTTTTTGTATTCATTCGAGCTGGAGTCAGTGGACTCGTAAACAGAGCTCACCAAGCGACAGCAGTGAGTTTCAATACTCGTGTTATTCCCCACAGTGCCGCTCAGTCAAACAGAGCATAGGCGTCTGTCAACTGGGATCTGGTCGAACAGTTCACTTTCTGAATTCGCACTCAATACTGTATCTACACCTGAAAGACCGCAGACAATAACCACTGAACCTCCAGAAACTCGAAGAGGGGATTGCGTAGAATCACTATATCGACGAGGTGAGGTTAGGTGAATAACTGCACTTGAATTTTTTATGCATCTCTCACAAATACATCACAAATCCGTGAACCGAGATACTGGATTTTTGGCTAGTGATGTTTGCTGGTGGATTTGACGGAGGGTATGAAGATTAAAAGCTCCAATGTGTAGTTTGGAATGCGGTTTCTGGTGAGCAGTGAGATCATTCCGTTAATTCAGAATGTTTTCTAAAGCCGTGGAGTTGAGATAAAGTGAAAGTTAAATAAGAATATTGAGATGCGAATAAAGATTAGAAGCTAAGCATATGGAAGGTGGCTAGTGGTCTGAGGGGACTTGATTTCTGACTGTTGAGTGTGATTGAAACTTCCTAGCTACCAACATCGTAGAAGACTTTCTTGAAGCAGTTGAAGAAGAGTGGTACGTACGTGCCCTCAGAGACCGAGGAATATCTCCTTAAGGCTAGTAATATATAGTCTTTTTAAAAATCTATAGTTTAGTTCTTTTTTCTGCAAATCCGAATATGAACCTGTGTCGCTGGCACTGGTATGCCACGAGGTAAAGAAGAGTGTTCTATTGTTAGGGTTAAACTTTTCCAGCGCTTTGCTGTCCTCTTCCTATAGGGGAGGCAGAATCACCACGGTACTTCTGATCATTCGGGAGAAACACCTTACTACTTTCGCATCACCATCCAGCTAGCAATAACAACTCACTCTCGAACTCCATCAAAGCATAGAAATTTAAGTTATAATAACAACTGCTTTTTTTCACCACTATTCAGCTGACGTTTCCAGTACGGTAGGACCTCAGGGGAATAAGCGTTTAACCAGCATAGTTCGTTGGGTCATTGTGATATGTAAGCTACACCACCACGTCAAGGTAGCATCTATCATTCGAGATGAAGTGATTACAAGTCATGATGGCTTTGTAGAGTTACTAACATGTAGTGGAACCACAGAGCGACTATTGTTGATCCCAGACACAAAGTATTCCACAAGACGGTAACACCGTCAACATTGTCATGAAACTAAATCTACTGAAACAGTTTAGATATACTGCGAATACTAAGCCAATACCTATCATAACGCGTCACATAACTTGAAGTAGTATCGCATTTCAATACTGTAAATTATGGACAAACACAATGCTAATCCTTAATGTTTCACATTTTTATCCTGAACCCAATCACTAAATGTGGGTTATTTAATTATTTATTATTTAACAACAAGAAATGTCAGTAAACATTGTCGTATTGATATCGATATAAAAACACTGAATAATATCCTAAACACTTCAGCAGATTTAAATCTGAAGTAAAGTACTGATGTTTCGTCACGTGATAAATCGTTGTTTAGATTAGGCTAATAAGTCATGTGAGCTTGCCAATCATATACATATATATATATATATGACCGAAAAAATTTCGAATGTCTTCAAGATCAATAAATAATTGTGAACAGTAGCATTAACGCTGCCAGAAAAACTAACACATAACTGCCTGCTAAATAACTTTCACAACAGGAAATTGAAAAAAACTGATATTTAGCGATTCAATTTTATTATTAAAGTTAAAATCATATATAAGAAGCTGAAACAAATTTACAGTCAGGTTTCAAAAGCCAACAAAGTTATCATGAATGTATGAGAAATTTTAGTAGTTGAGTTGTGGGACTCAATTTATCTAACTTCAGCAGCGTGTGAATCCTTTCACTAAACTTTTTCGTATCATTATAATTATTTCTCCCATGGGTTCCCAGTGGAACATATGGCTTCAGTAGCACGTCTCCATTGCACTCCCTTCTCTCCAATCTTTTCAACATGGCTCCACGACTGCTCACAAGCTTTCATTCCTTCCTTACATGATATACTCCATGTCACCCTCAGACGCCCAACTCGTCGTTTCCCCTTTGAATTCCACTCGAGGGCCTGGCCTGGCGTATGATGTCCCCGAATGGTCTTCCCAGTGTATGCCCAGTCCATCTCCACTTCCTTCTGCATACTTGTTGGGCGATAGGTTCTTTCTTCGTTGGTTCGTTGCCCGGCCAGAGTTCCTTGCTACTTATTCTTTCCGGCCATCTGAGGTTCGTTCAGGAACGAGCGTAGGCAGTTGTTGATGAATGTCTGTAGTTTGTTGGAAATCCCTTTCTCAACCATATAGAAGCACTGACTTGACGCTGGTGTTGAGAATCCGGATCTTGTTCCACATGCTGAATACAGTAGGTCTCCACAATGACTTCAGATTAATAAAAGCCTGTCTTGCTTTCCCGATCCTGGTTTTGACGTCCTCATCTGTGTCTGTGCCGCATGTAGTTGAAACGATGCTGCCCCGCCCCCCCCCCTAGGTAGGTGAACGAGACTACTTCCTTTAAGTTTCTCCCGTTCATGGTGATTGGAGCTTGTTGTTGTTGTTGTTGGTGGTGGTGGTGGTGGTGGTGATGATGATGGTGGCGTTGGTTGGGTATCTTCATCACCTCTGTCTTCTCTACGTTCACTTGAAGCAATTCCCGTCTTCGCTGCCTCACCTCTTCTGTCAACTTGTCAGTTTTCGCCTGTACATCTTCCAGTTTGTGCCACAACACATTAGACACAAGTCATCATCGCCGAAACCCAAATCTTCTAGGCTCTTTTCATCGGTCTAGTCAGCATATGCCCCTCTCCTCGCTCCTCACTGTTTGCTGCATAATCTAGTTCACCACAATCAGGAAGATTGTGGGTGATAGTAGGCGGCAACCTTGTCTCAATCCTGTCTTCACTTCAAAGGCGTCACTGAGCTTTCAGTTGTGAATTACTTGGCATGTGGCCTCTTCATATAGTTGTTGAATGAGATTGATAAAGGTTTGTGGTATTTGTGTAGTGTTGAAGCGGTTGCCAAATTACTTGTCGGTCGAGGCTATCGAAGGGCTTTTCAAAGTCGATGAAGTTGAGGTAGAGAGTTGACTGCCATTCTATACTCTGTTTTATGATGATGCGCAAATTTTCGTAATAATTAAGAGTGAGAAAACCTGGTGGACATGAAGACAAATACTCACCGATAAAATTGGGTGATCGTCGTGCTGTGTCGTGAACTGACAGAAGGTGGAAATATGGACTATTAGATTCCGATCCAGTGACTCAATGGTAACGTACTGGCCGCGCATGCTGGAGGTCCTGAGTTCGATCCCTGGCGGGGTAATCGGTGCGCACTGCTGAGTTGTCCCATACTACGTCGAAACAGCTGCCCAGCACCCTCAGGTTTCCAATGTCCTTCTAACTGATATCAGTTTGAAAAATCAATAAATCCCCACAAACCCCCAAATTGAATTAATCTGAGAAAGATATTCCCATTATATTTGAGATTCGTCAGCTGCGTGTATCTGTATTTAGATACGTATTGATATCACCGGCGAAACTAAAGCATAGAACTTATTGCTTCGAATACTGAAGGGTTGATAAAGAGTCTAATAAAGCATAACGATCATCTCATCACAAGAAAGCAGCGCTAAGAGTTATATCCACGCTGAAATTGTAAGCTTAAAAGCGGTTAGATATTAATATTTTTCTGTCTAGTGTCATTTACAGCTTATAAGAAGCTTCTTAGGAAATCCGTTTTCTAAAAGATTTAATTCAGTTATTTCAAGTTCATTTTCTAGTTTATTTCCTGCACATATAATTTCGCCTTCTTGGATAACATTTTCACTAGCTTCTAATTATATCTGAATGACTAAAAATACTTTAGTTCAATTATTACTTCACATTTGTGTTATTTCTTTACCATTGTCTTTTTAGATTCTGTTGTTATATCTATCATTTCAAACTAGAATCCAAGATGTTAAATTGATGTTCCTATTCATAAGAAACAATTATTCAAAAGCCACAAGAATAATTACAATAAAGAAGAAATTAAATCTACTTCCTTGTATTAGTAATAATCAGTATCTAGTGTTTTCAAGCCACAAAAACTGTTAATGGTCACCCTGTCATTCCACTAGTAACTAAAGATATATTTCTCACATTACTCAACAAATTTCATTTATATCATTTTAACTATCTGAGATAGTCGTGGTTTGGCAGACTAGTATTGATACTAGGTGATGATTGAAGGTGAAAATGAAAATCTAGTCAGTTGGTAGAGCACTAGGTCGGAAACCAGGTCGTCTCTGGTTCGAATTTCGCCACGGTTCAAATTTTTATTTCACTCTCAATCATCATTCAGTATCAATTTTATTATTATCACTTAGTTCACTCATGTAATCCAAGAATTATTACTCATAAATTCCATCTCATTTTATTTATACTGTTAAAATCATTCTTTGTGTCATAAGCAAGTAAACAATAATCGCACCTATGATTTGTAAATCTTTCGTTTTCTTTATTCTCAAGTGAATTTAGTTTGAATTTGGTTTCCTAGATTCAACTGCAAACATGGTTCATTTCTGTATCAATCATAATATCCGTTGCAACCTTAGGTTTTTTGCAACTGATGATGCAAGAAATAAAATGAATTCACTGTATTTTGATAAACTTGTTGTTGTCCTCTTGTTTAGAGAGAGGGATTAAAGGAGCGAAAAGTATGAAGCTAATATTGATATTAACAGTTCATACACTCAATATATACCTTTTTTTAAATCGAAACTCAGTGATTCCTATGCCTAACATATAACACAATACTCTTGAACCAACTTTTATTTATGATTAAAAAAACCATCCACACCATAAAAACCAGTTGTTGTTTTGTTTGTTTTTTCATCCACTAGTCTCAATCAGTACTGATATACATCAATATTCTAATCTTTTCATATTACGAATGTCAACAGTAATCATAAGATAATCAAATTTGAACTCTTTTCATCCACTGTAAGTCACATGATATGATCAGATGTTATTGTTGTGCAGAGCAAATCGTCTATAGCAAGTAAATATAAATGCTGTTATCAAGGAAGGAGAAAGTAAGGTCATTAGTAGCAGGGAATAGAAATGTAGTCAGCTACCTAATGCACATTTGTGCAGTAGGCAATTAGCTCCACGTATTATGTGAAGGCTAATGATAATACCTAGCTGCCCGGAACTCGGTAGGTGGAACGGTGCTTGAACGCATGACCCACTGGTTGAAAATCAACTAACTAAGCCAATTACCCACAGCTTCTCAAGGGAAGCATTATTAAATTGATTAAATATTCTACCATTGAATTAGCGATTGGATGATAAGGAAAGACAATAATTACCGGAAATTATTCTAAGAATTACAACCATATCCAAAGTCATAACCTAATGAACATATACAAACACGGACATAGATTATTGTAGTAGACTACAATTTGCAGCGCATGCTGCTGAAAGTCTAGGGAACAGATTTACGCTTAGTTAACAAGTTGCATTAATGTAATCACATAGTTTTCTGACAATAAGGTGTAGCAACATACAACTCTGTATAACTGAACAGCCGATGGTTGAAGACAGTTTTAACGAACTCCTTTGCTCGTGACAAAGTAACACATTTTGAAGTAATGTTAATAAAATCGAAATGCAATAAGCAGTCATTTCCACATCTATGCAATGAGCCACACCTACTGTGTGAGGGCTACTATCTGCTCAGATCTCAGTAAGTACGGCGGGGTTCAAACTCATAACTCACTAATTAGGAGCATCATTCGCTCAAGTACTATGATTTCCCGTCGGAGACTTATTTTTGAGTTACAATGGAGCACTAGTTAAACACTCAGTCATCAGAAGATAAATATAAGAATATGACTCTATTTCAGTTTACAAATCGCTAACCTAAACCGAGAACCATATATATATTATATATATATATATATATATATATATATATATATATATATATATATATATATATATATATATATATATATATATATATATATATATATATATGGATAGTACCCGCTTTGAGAATAAAAGAATATTAGACTGAACCACATAAAATCTCTACATAAATCTAGTCAGTCATTTACAACATAAACTCACCCGGGTGCACAAAGCCATCAGGATCTGGATGAACTTCTATTGAATACCGACTACCTTCATTACTGAACATTTCTCTCATTCGTGAATGATTATAACGTTTTTTTAGACGTGAATATTTTGAAAAAGGACGTGAAAAATCTTTAAAGTTTTGTGAGTTTGATAGATACTTATATGATGAATAATGACCGAAAATATTCTTTAACTGATCCTCTGGCATGGATGAAATCATATGCGTAGACGATTCAGAACAGGTTATAACTGACTGTTCTAATCCCGAGTCCATATTTGATGAATTATCACAGTGTATACGAGGTATTCGAAAAGTAGGATCAAAAGGATAATCAAGTGTTCCATTTGAGTGAGACAAGTACCCAGGGACATCAGGATCATTAGAGTGGTGATTAAGATGAGTTGGTGACACATTCATCCTACCCCTTGAAGACCAGTAATCATTAATATCAACATTATCATCCATATCAGTATTGTCATCATGTAATATACCTTCTGCTTCTATGTCACTAAGAGGAACTGCAGAGCAACAGTCGGAAGTATCTGAGGAAGAATCCTCATCCAAATTATCTTTCAAATACCACATATAATCCAAATTGTCTTCAGCTTGATCTAGCTGGATTTGATTAGCTTGTAGCTTATATAATAAACGATCTAGTGTAGCGCCTAGTTTATTTAACTCGTTTGTCAGTAGGACAGTTTTTTGTGTAAGATCAGTAAATTCCAGTCTATCGGTATCCGATTTTGATAACAGTTTGTTGAATTTATTATCCATAGATGATGGTGTTCCTAATACGTCATCAGTGGTATCTATGGTGTCAGTGCTTTCGCTTGAAAGCAACGGAACTTCATTCGATTTTTCCTGTAAATAACTATCTGATCTAGAATTAAGCAGAGATGACAGTGTATCAAGTTGCCGAAGAATATTTTCAGCTCTTTCTTCACTATATTCTTCATCAACATCACCATCATCATTATAATTATCTTGAATGTACTCTTGAACATTTACCAGATTTTCACTTTTTTTCATTATCCCATTATCTTTAGTCATTTGTATTGCGATGATATCATCATATTCAAAGCCTTCATTATCATCCACACTAAAACACGACAGAGATGTAGTAGATGAACCTGAATTGGAATGGAAACGTGAACGATGATATAAAACAGAGTTACGAGTACTTTGATTGGTATAATCATTTCCGTTAGACAAACTTTTCACATATTCATTTCTTCTTATTGTCTTCTCCGGTACAGTATCACTGCGAATACAATGCATTAAGGAACAGGAAGATGATGATGATGATGATTTGTTTCTTGGTGAACCATTGAGCCAATCAACTTGTCTGGCACTGAGAAAGTCAACTACTTTTGAGGATAATTGTTCTATCGACAAATTGACAGTGGTAGATGGAACAGTATTTCTCTCCAATGATTTAGTGTTCATAGAGGTAGGCTGAATATTTTTAGCTTTCATACTTGGAAATAATACATTATCAATAGATGAGGAAAGGCGTTTCAAATGCTCATGATGATTACTGTAATTTATATCCGTTTCATTAGATTTAATAACAAATGAATTGAGAACTTCTAACGGATAAAGATCATTCGACTGATCTCGTTCAAGGGAATTTAATTTTTCGTCTACAGTTTGTGATAGTGAGTTGTCAGAAACTGTAGTCTGAGTAGTGCCGAATGCTACTATTGAAGGAGTAGTAGTTGTTGTAATAGATGGATCATCTAATAAAAAGTCGAACGAAAAAACAATTTGATAACTCGATATTTACAAAGATCATTACAAGTAGGAAAAAAAGCTGATGAATGAAACTCAGGCCTGTTAATCTCAAAAAAGATACTCAGTATTTCAGGAATAATAATTATTCATCATCCATACAAGTTACTTTGTACACTTTGTTTACTGTTCACTGATCAGTTCACTAAATTACTTAAACACAATAAGTCTCAGTAACGAAAATATCACAGTTATGTAGTGAATCAATGTATCGGGTAGAGAGCAACATTAAGGTGGGAAAAAAACTTTTGCGTTGACTATAAGGAAGTTAGACTTGAATGTATAAGCCAGTACTTGGAAATACAGTGAATCTTGACTGAAAAACTTAACTTAGTAGCTATGCGCACTTACATGCACTAGGCAGCGAACCACACTTAGTTTGAAGGAGGGGTGCCTACACCAATGGATCACAGATCCACGAAATTCTCAGTAAGACATAAGAAATATGTGAATCCAATTAGATTCACATCGATTACCAACCAACTCCAATTCTAAGGATAGGAATATTTTTGATATTACAGAGCCACTAATTAGATAGTCTTTAGAATCTGCCAGTTGTATACTACAATATATCTTGAACACAACTGACAGTATCCTACAGCAATAAAATCTCTTGTTCTAAATGTTAACAAAAGTTTAGTGGGATAGTTCAGTACAGTACAGTACAAAAAGACTAAAATACCGAAAACAGCTCTAACTGAACTCCTGTAATAACGTTCCAATAACTATTTACTAGCCTAATTCAACACAATAAATATCGATGACTTGAATAAAGCTATGTGATACGAAACATATAAATATCTTCTTATCACTCTTAAAAGCACAGTTATGCTAGATAATCCCATGAATAGGTCTAACCTGTCTACTAGTAAATAGGTTGGTCCTGTAGTTCGGAGTTCATTTGTCTTATCAACAACCCTTATAAGTTTTAAAGTTTTAAAGTCGGAGACCTACTGAAAGTCTAGGAACATCGGATAGCTTTAGTATAATTGCTCGTATTATACCGTCGTTGACTGAACTCAATTGATCGGTCTCTATTGGCATATGGGTTCCTGTGCGGATGCCTCGATATTACCTGTGCTCTAATTATAGTAAAGATGGATAATGGCTAGCAGTGGAACACAGGTAACATCGAGGCATTCGCACAGGAGACCATAGGCCAATAGAGACCGACCAATTAGGTCCAGTCAACGACGGTAAAATACGAGCAATAAGACTAAAACTACACCCGTCGCACAAGAAGTGGCTATCCTGGCTCGGTGGTGTAGTAGATAACGCTGCAGCGTTTGCAACGGTTGCCCCCGAGTCCGAGTCCCGGCGGGAACAACACCACTCACTGGGAGCCGGCAGGTACATCCAGCTGACGAGTCCCAAATAGGACGAAGTGCGCAACCTGGATTCCACTGCTAGCCACTATCCATCTTTACACTGGTTAGCCGTTTGATTTTAATTTGGAACTTGCTTCTAGTGCGCACAAAAGAGCCCGTGACCATCAGGTTTCACAGCAACCCCATTATCACTCAACCAGTGAGTTGGAATTCAATGATCCAAATTTTACTTTTACCACCTTCAGAAATACGTGGTAGTTGACGTTTGTTTGTTAACTTACAGCTATCTAGAAGTGAATACGAATAAACAATGCCTCATAAATTTAACAGGACATATCCGTTCGACTATTGAATTTAGAGTTATTTTAGTTGCTCGGTTTAAATTATAGTAAACGTAATCATTGAAAAGAATCATTAATTCAAAACAAAAATATATACGAGAATATGAAAGAAATATAAAAAATGTTATGGTGATATAAGAGTTAAACTTGGGTACTGTGGTAGAGTACAATTCCATATTCGATTTTTTATTCGATTTAGCACACAGTGATACAGCCTTATTTACTGGACTACGTTTTGGACACGGTATACTGTCCATGAATATATCGAGATTTCCCATATATCCGGAACAGGTGCTCAGTCATTCTTGCTGCACATGTTCGGCGTTGATTCGATAAAAAAACAGATTCTTTTTTCAATACACCCTCTACTCTACTAGGTTACTTTTAAAGATTGTCACTCTGCCCCCTTCTATTGTGTGGTACACTGCATGCATGGTCAAGCTTTCTTCTGGATTACTTATCTTACCAGGATCTAACAATTTTGATTTAACCAGATTTTTGTGCCCGGATAATTCAATTGACTCCGGTGGACTACTTTTACCTATTATTCTTGTTATCGTTATTATTATTGGTGGCAATACTGTGAAGACAGAATTCAAAACTTACACAGTGTTGCCATACAAAGAGAGCACGTTAGAGGCATTACGTAGGATTGTAAATAAGACTGGAATTACAGTGACATTTAAACCTAAGAACTCACTTAGAAATAAGAGGTGTAGGTTAAAAGATTTTACTGTCCCAATTAGACAGAATAATTCAGGTTACTGAACCCATTACAACGATTGCGAGGTCGAATACATAGATTAGAATAGTCGTTAGGGATCAATTAGGCTTTCCGAGCACAAAAACCCAGCTGGATCAAAATTTGTAGACCTTAGTAAGATAGGAAATCTAGGAAGAAACTCAACCATAGCTATCCATGTAATTACACACAATTACACAACATGAGATGGGATAGAGGGAAAATCCTTGAGACTAAACTAGTGAGGTGGAGGGAAGGATCGATAACCGAATTTCCGCCTATCGAATCGACACCAAACACATACAACAGGAATGATTCAACACCTGTTTTGGATATATGGAAAATTCCACTACCTACGTCACAATCAAAGCTATATCTTGATATGAACATATACAATAAATTGTGTCCGGAACGTAATCCAGGAAACAATACTGCATCAGTGTGTGCTACATCAAATAAACAATCTAATATGGAATAAACAAGATGAACAGAGCAATGAGGTGAATCTGTTTGCGAGTTTGTTGTATTAAAATATATAAAGACTAAAAATTGTATCGTAGCAAACTGTTTTATTGTTAGCTACATAAAACTATCAAATGTTGCGTACTGGGTAACCTATTATATACGACTGACTATTAAAACAAAAGTTTGGGTGACGCTAAACGTTATCCCCAGGTGTTACAGTGTTCTGTTTGAAATTACTCACTTTCTGTATTTTGAAGAGAAAACTACAATCATAAATCTTTTTGCTGCAATTTTTATTTGCGAGCATGATTTTTCACGAATAAATGTACTTACATCCCAACTACCAGGTGAAAGTGCAACCAACACTTTGCACATAAATAAACGGTGTGAAATATGTTCCAGTGACAGAGGGCACATAGCACACAGAAAATACATGAATTTGCTCACAAAACGCTATATTCTATAACAAGCCCGATAGTACCTCGGAAAAACTTCTAGCCTCACCCCAAAAGTTTACGACCACTTCTCTTACTTCAGATAAGGTGATCGCGTAGTATCACTACCGGCGTCTCTATACAACAGGTATAGCTCATAACCAAGTGTACACCGACTTGCGAAAAATTGCACTGTTCTATTTGTTAGGCGACACTTGCGCTCATTATCAAAAGATTTCTTTCAAATGGAAATATGTTGACCTGCTAGAAGTGACTTTGTTACCTAACCTGATTTACTAAATCCGGCTGCAGTCGTTAGAAGCAACCTAGAATTTTATACAGCTTACGACAAAGCACGATAGGATAGGGATATTCACGTGAGGTTATTATTATTATTATTATTATTATCATTATTATTATTATTATTACTATTATCATTATTATTGTTTGTCCCTTGAGTTCCTAGTGGAACATAGAGCTTCAGTAGCACGTCTCCAGTGCACTCTGTTCGCAGTCCTTTGCACCTGGCACCACGACTGCCCAAAAGCTCTCATTTCTTCTTCATACGATCTCCACGTCACCCTCGCCTCGGACGCCCAACTCGTCGTTTCCCATCTGGGTTCCACTCGACGGCCTGGCCTGGCGCGTGATGTCCCCAATCGGTCTTCTCAGAATATGTCCAATCCAATCCATCTCCACTTTCTTCTGCATATTTGGTGGGCGATGAGTTCTTGGTTGTTTTGTTGCCAGAGTTCCTCCTTGCTTATTCTTTCTGGCCATCCATCTGATCTTCAGTGTCGAGTGAGCGTAGGTGGCAGCTGCTAATGAATGTTTTTAGTTTGTTGGAAATACGTTCGGTTAATATCCGCTGATCCATTCCAACACCAGAGGTTAGATCTTGAAGATCATGCAACTTACTGGCTTCAAACATTAACAGACGGCTTGGAACACAAGTCAATAGTTTTCTTACTATCTTACTAATGTTCTCATGTATTATGATACTTAATGTTTTGGCCTGCACATCTGCATATATTTGTCATTTTTTAATGCCTCGTTTGGCAGAAGCCTTATATTTTAAACAATGGAAGAAAGTACCGAAAACTGAGGCTAATAGACATTTAATGTCCAAGCCATCTGCATACAATCAGCTTAAGTACATCAATAACTCAGAGAATTTGCATCACAACAACTGCAGTATATCTCTACAGCTTACCACTAATGAGTAGAAAAATTACAAGTGTGCTATCAAATAAACAAATCTGATATAAATCTCATCGGATGAATGGATTTGTTAATGAAAAGTCACTGAATTGTCCGAATTCCAGATTGGTAACTTCATACATGGCTCACAACAAATTTTTACTCGTTGATTTTGAATGAAAACTGTAAATCAATTTGTTTTCGAGGTATTAATCAAAATTCCTGAATAGTTATATTTGCAGTTCAAAGGAAAGTCTTATGCCCGTTTTATTAATCGATACCAAACCCAAATTCCATGACTAGTTGCAGTGGTAAAAAGCCAAGCGATCAGTTCACCGGAATATTACGTTAACATTGCAACCGAATAAGCATATGAAGAAATAGACAAAACCAATAGATGTTCAATAACCTTTCATTGCCATTTCACCGCTTACTATG